CTCTTGATTGAGTCAACAGTTACCATACAACAAAACAAGAACAACCTTGGTAGGAGACGGTGACCATCTTTCAGCAATGGGGGTTTGGACATGAAGTAAGGTTGGTAGTCTCTGATTTGGTCAGCATAGCTAGGGGAACTAATTCTAACATTTATTGTTATATTTTTATTTAAATACTTAGTTAAATTTAAATATACATTTTATTTATCTATTATGTCAACTTTAAGATATTTTTTCAAGATTTATAGTTATCGATTTTACTTTTCCGTTTTTTTAAAGTGTTTTCCATTTTAATTTTTGCAATAACAATTTTGATTTGGCAGTTGAGGCAATTCCTTTGTTTGAGACTGCTTTTACAAGATGTGGTTGAGATGGAGTGAACATATCAAGTTAGAATCATTTTACTTTTAAGGGCCCTGGTAAGTGGTCATAGTATTTTCCCTCTCAATTTTTTAATTATTTTCAGCTGTACATGCATGATATTGGTAAGTGAAGCACCCACTCTTTCTAGTGTTGCAAATAATCACAGAGGACTTTGATTCATCAAACATAAACTTTCATAGTCATTCAAGTGCATTTTTACTATATTGTCTCATACCAAACCCATACACAATCATACAACATCAACCATGTCATAAAAACAACTCATACATTACATACTTTCGGAAAACCATCACTTGTTAACACAAATTTCTTTAGAACTTTTAATTTTTAATATTAAGTAATTCAAAAAGCTTGGAGACCCTCACCAATGGCTCCGGAAGGGTCAAAACCCCCCAGAACGACTTAAAGAACGTCCAAAATGGACATCCGGACCCTCGAAAACCACCCAAAACTGTCCTGAATGATTTTTCGACGACAATAATTGATTATCATATGTGATAATCGATTATTTGCGAGAGCTTTGAAGAGGATACAACTCTCTGACTAAAATAATCGATTATCAAGTGAGATAATCGATTATTCTTATCAGCTTTTGACAGCAACGTGATTTTTCTGGTTTTGGTGCATCTTAGACACTTTAATGAGTTTCTAACACTCCAAACTTGATCTATATGACAAAATAAACTTGTATAACTGATTCTAATACTTCCTAATCTTATTATCTAGTGATTTAATGTTGATTTAAACTCTAAACCCTCAATTTCATCAACCTAGGTACTCAATTCTGAATCTACCACTTATAAATTATTTTTAACACTTTTAACACTCCTAATGAGTCACAATTAACTTACCCAAGTTATCTAAACTGATCCTAACAGCCTGGAATACAAAATTCAGATTTTGACTACCTTAGTTCTCTTCATAGGTTATAAACTTCAATGATTCACATGGTTATTTCCTAATAAATTATTTAATAGAATTCATTTCTTCTAAGCATTCAAAATTATCACAGCATTGTATCAATACCAGTTCCTAATCATCCAATTCACAGTTCATATCAACATCAACCAGCAATACACGATCAGATAGGCAAAATCACAAGTTTTCAGATTATCCTTAATTAAAATCCAACCCATGAACTTTACATGCACTCTATCACTATATCTACTAAATCTAACTCATGCAAGTTCAAGAATTTCACAGAACATCACAAAAACCCCAGCTTCCCTTACCTCTAGTGTAGACAACCAAGCTCAAGTAGGAACCCTAGACCACTTGCTTGCACTCCCAAAATGTTAGAATCACCTATAAATCATCAATTGATGATGGAAAACGAATCTTAGAACCAAATAGAAGCTAGATTATGGAAGAAAACGAAATGGGTTGCATGCAACAAGTTCAATCGCATGCTTACAACCCTAGGGCACACGAGAAAGGGGGTTTTCTTACCGGTTGGAGAAAACGGAAAATCAATCG